TTACATTCATTTTACCCATTTATTGAACAGATCACGAAATTAACACTGCCTTCTCCCTTGAATCCCTTTCTCAAATGACTTGTACGGCTGAAAATATGATACTATATAATGTCAGTGATCCTCGAACTTAGCCCACACTAGATACAGATTTTGGTCTTCTATGCTGAAGAGTAGGAGATAAGAGATGCAGAAGGATGGGGGAAAAAGGAGGCCAGACTGGAGAGCACAGGACAGCAGGTTTAAGCTATTAGTGCAACATTAGTAATGCTTGGGCTTCCATTCAGTTGACGTTTCTGCTCACATACTACACTGCAAAATTAAGGTTAAGTTACAAATATGCAGATTTAATGGGGCAGCATGCAGAAAAGCATCATACGGTCGATGCTGAAGGTTTCAAATTTCTCTTAGGAAAAACTGTGCCTGGAATGTATTTTATTGCTTGTAGTTCTTCACTAAACATGTTGCACATCTTTTTCATTAGTAACATTAAAATCAAGGCATTGATTTGTCAGCCAGCTTCCCAGCCAGGACTTTCTTGTCCCACTCTTCCCACCACCCCTGCAGCTCACTGCCAAAGCAGTATTAGAAGCAGAACCTTGTCAACAGAAATGACCCTCAGGAAAACGAGTGAGACGCTGATTAAAAAGGGGAAGGAGCACTGACCCATGCAGCCTACTTGGTTAAGAGAACAGAGAAGTCAGCTGGCTGGATGACGACAGAAACAAAACAGCATTTCAGATAGAACCATGTTGTCATTAAAACTATATAGCCAAAATTCTGGACAGTAAGCTATGCAAAGGAAGCAATGTTTTTATGGCCTGTCTTCCTGCAGCATACATGCTTCCCCAGTTCAGTCCTACTACAAGGAGAAAAACAGAGAATGGAGATCTAATACTCATGGCTTGGATGGGCATACTCTTCACTGGGCAAAAAAATGGCTGGCTGGCTGAGCCCAAAGTGTTGTGGTAAATGGAGTTAAATCCAGTTGGTGGCCAGTCACAAGTGGTGTTCCCCAGGGCTCAGTACTGGGGTCAGTTCTGTTTAATATCTTCATCAATGATCTGGATGAGTGGATGCAGCACACCCTCAATAAGCTTGCAGACAACACCAAGTTTGGCAGGGGTGTTGATCTGCTGGAGGGTAGGAAGGCTCTACAGGGGGATCTGCACAGGCTGGATCGATGGGCTGAGGCCAGCTGTATGAGGTTCAAGAAGGCCAAGTGTTGGGTTCCCTGTACTTGGCACTGATGAGGCCACACCTTGAATACTGTGTTCAGTTTTGGGTTTCTTACTCCAAGAAACACATGCATTGCTGCAGCATGTCCAGAGGAGAGCCACAAAGCTGATGAGGGGTCTGGAGCACAAGGCTTAGGAGGAGCAGCTGAGGGAACTGGGGTTGTTTAGCCTGGAGAAAAGGAGGCTCAGGAGAGACCTTATCACCCTCTACAACTACCTGAAAGGATGGTGTAGTGAGGTGGGTATTGCTCTCTTCTCACTGGCAACAGGTGATAGGACGAGGGGAAATGGACTGCAGTTGCATCAGGGCAGGTTTAGGTTGGACATTAGGAAAAAATTTTTCACAGAAAGGGTTGTTAAGCACCGGAATGGGCTGCCCACGGAAGTTCTCGAGTCCCCATCCCTGGGGGTATTTCAAAGATGGGTAGATGTGGCGCTGAGGGACATGGTATAGTGGTGAACTTCGCAGTGCTAGGTTAACAGTTGGACTTGATTCTGAAGGTCTTTTCCAGTGATTCTATGATTCCAAGTATCTCCTTACCCAGTGGGTTAGCAAGCAATAGCTGTATTGCAAAGAAAGCAGACTACTTTTTCTACCCACGCATCAAACTCCAAGTAGAAACACTATTAATCTCAGATTTAAATCTTAAGGCACATGATGCTATCTGACCTTGGAGGTGGGCCATAAGTCTATGGTTAATGCACAAGTCCCTGCTGCCATCAACTCAAACATTTACTTTTTTCAAAAATAATTTAAAAATACACAGTATACAGACAGCCAGCAGCTAACAGATTATTATTTTTTCCTAATGTTCTGGGATTTTATTAATGCAAGCTTTCAAAGAAAAATGTTAACAGATTCAGCAAGAAACACAGTCTCCTTAATTAACAAACTTCCAATCTGGTAATACCTTGATCTCTGATACATGTAAATATTTTTATTCAGGCTCCTAATCAAAAGGTTTAGCAGCCTTAGGCTTGTTTGATGCCCTAAAACATAACTTCAAAAAGTCTACTGGTACCCTTGACTGGTTCATTTTGCGGGGATTTTTTAATTTATTATTATTGCAGGATAAATTGTTAAGTCTCAGATGCTGAAGTAATTTCTCATAAAGTCATCCAAAGCTGCTTCTTGCAAACTGTATTTTATGTTATCTTGGGTTCTAGCACCTGAACTCACTGCTGAGTTTTAAGAGTCCTTATTTTTGATCCTTGAAATATTCCCAAACCTAAATTCCTGCAATTAAATAACTTGGCATTTTGGAGCATAATCATCTGTTTTACTTGGTTTGTTTGCTGCAAGGGAGGGAAGGGAAGGAAAGAAAGAAGAGAGGATTCAAGTGTGTTTTCAGGTATCCTCTGACCACTGGTACCTAAGAATGCTCAAATCCCCTCTTCACATGAACTAAAACTACTTCCACTAATTGTTGGTTCCATCATCTACATAATTTCATTACCCCTTGATTGTTTACTTGGCAGTATGTGCTATCAAAGAAACACCAAGTCAAATGTGATGCTTTTAAATTTAAAATTTGGGAAGTTGCTCAAAAGACCATTCAGTATTACTCTCCTCCAGATGACACACTCAGAACCGTATGACTACAATTAAGCACACATCATGCAACAGCTAACAGGACAAAATAACAAGTCAGATTATTTTCTGAGAAAATATAATTAAGATGACATAAAAATCTTATTTAAATATTGATTCCATTACACTACTGTGTCAGTTTTGAGCTATTTGACATAATTTGTACCATAAGTATAAATTAACACAAGCACCCCCAACGATAAAACAACTTTTATGGGTTTAAGCAGTTACTAGCCTCTTCTGATTCTAAGAGTAAAAATATGTTAAAGCACAGAATTACCTAGCCTAGTCCAGATGAGCCAACCTGTGCCCTGAAAGCACCGTAGGGGCATTTGTGTGGTATGTTAATGAAGCACCAGCTTGGCTGTGTTGCAACCTTTAGTAACGAACGATGGAAGCCTACGCTCTACCCTGTGTTTGCCTCCCACAGTTCATCGTAATTATCTCAATCTGATATAGATAAGTATTAAATCCAATTATCTCTCATCCATTTTCTCCAATCTGGAACAGGAAAACAGAGACATTTGTCTATCCTTCTTTGGTTGAAGGAAAAAACCCAAACCTGAACACATTGAAAATACTTCCATCACCCCCCCTCTCTGTACTACCTTCCCAACATTGCTCGTGTACATGCTAAATAACGAGGGGTAACAGCACATCCTCTGTGATATCCATCATGAGGGAATCACTAGGGTTTAAAAGCAGTTAACCTGCTTCCGCATCATAAAATTAATTCAGTGCAAGTAGCAACCTTCTACAATTCACCATCAGCTTTTATACATTACCAGACATCTTCTTCGTATCTTGTGATATGAACTGGGGATGAAAGAGCACCTGTAAGAAATCTTTATGCTCCTCGGATTTAGCCTAAAAAGTAACTGTCCCAGTGAACTTGGATGGATACCGCAACGCAAGAAGGGCCCTGAGACACAAGCAGTTACACAAAATTAATTTCATTCTGTCAGAGAGGGAACAGGAAAAACAAGTGGTAGCTCACTGAGCACCGACAAGTGTTTGTACACTGTGAAAATGCTCTGAAGACAGGTCTAGATTAACCATTTATAAATTCAGCAATCTGGTGTTTTTCATGATGAACAGCTACTCCATAAAAAGCAACTCTGAACAAACACACATATATAGAATTTTTTTTAAAAAATTTTTTTAACGTCTCTGTCTACAATTCTTCACATCTCCATTGCCAGGCTGGGCAAGCGTTTACTATTTAGTTAAGTTAAAAACTCAAGTCAAGTATATAAAAGATATATATTTTTTCATAAGGTAATGAAAACTGCATTTTAAACTCTAAAAATTAATCTCTCTCCCAGATAACATCATTCTTTGCGTCACTGAAATAATGTTGTTTTATTCATACACTAATTATGTCCAGTATCAAACTGTATTGTGCAACGAGAATTTTAGTTGTGACTAAATGACACTGATGAATAAGAAACCAGGAATAATCCAATTATCAGTAATACCATAGAATCATAGAATCACAGAATGTTTTGGCTTGGAAGGGACCCCTAGCGCCCATCCAGTCCAACCCCCTTGCAGGAGCAGGGACACCGCTAACCACATCAGGTTGCTCACAGCCCCGTCCAACCTGGCCTTGAATGTCCCCAGGGATGGGGCCTCCACCACCTCTCTGGGCAACCCCTGCCAGGGTTTCACCACCCTCATTGTAGAGACCTGGCCTCATAGCAGAGGGGCTCCAGCCCTCCCATCATTTTAGTAGCCCTCCTCTGGCCCCACCCCAACAGGTCCATGTCCTTCTTGTGCTGAGGGCTCCAGAGCTGGACGCAGGGCTCCAGGTGAGGTCTCCCCAGAGCAGAGCAGAGGGCCAGAATCTGACCAGCCGACAAACATTTTGATCTTCTAACTTCTCCTATATTTATCAATAAGCTTTAAGCAAAACTAAGAGTAAAATAAGTGAACAATGCTGATCTTAAATGATCTCTTCCTATACTTTTTTGGGCCAAAAGAGTATCGCGCATTGCCACATACAGGTCTAGTTAAACCATGCTTATTTTTCCCGTCCTCCCTAGTTTATTCAGTCACAGGCAGTGCTGTGCCAGCTACTTCAATCCTCCCAATTTTTAAAGCAAAGCAGGAATTACCAGGTAAGCAGCAGCCATGACGTACCGAAGCGTAACAGAGGAAATACCAAATCTTACCTTCACAAACTGGGCAGCACTCCCCAGGGACTTTAACAGGATTTAGGCAGCTCTGCCCGCAGGCCGTTGCGACGCAGTGCGGATCTCCATTGATGCACTGGCAGAAAGTACAGTCGTCCTCTCGCCAGCGGTCCCCATGAGCTTGGATCTGACCGTTGGCATAGCAGCCGGCAGGGTTATTTACTGGATAAACCGGGTCTGAAATGAGAGGAATTGCAAGAGAACATGAAGTTTTATCTTCCCTTTTACGCCGAGACTTTATATATGAAAATTGTAACACTGTGGTTTTACATTACCTTGAAACTGTGAAGTGCAGCCACTATCAAACCTTAAAAGAACCACCCCGTGGTATACAGTGATAAAATAAGATGGGTAACAACTTAGATACTTCAATATTGAAATTTACTGTCAAAAAATTTAAGTCAATTTACACTGAGCATTCATAAATGCAGAAATTTTTAACTATTTCAACTCAAATTTTGTATGCAAGAAGCAGACCTTGTATGGAAGACGTACCTACAAATGGCTGGGTTATGTTTTTTCAGAGGCTTAATTTTTTGATTTTTGAATGGATCTTAGATCTATTGACCCATTTTTTTGTACCAGCTTAAGAAATTCTGAGGAGAAATGAAAACACTTCAATGAACTGCTGGAATAGCTCTTGTCAGCATCGCACCGCTATTTTATAGATGAGACCTCTGGCACGTTTCCTGCTGGAACAAGGAGTCTGCCTTAAGCTACATCTCATCACAGTTTTGGAGATACGTTAGTTTTTCTGGACAGATTATCTGGCTCAGTTTTCAATTTCATTTCAGTTGGAGCTTTTTACCCTTAAAAGCTACCAAGGCCCATTTTCCTGCTAACAATCAACTTAAGACTCAGGTATTTACATACCAGAATTTTTGGGGATATACTTTACATAAGATTTCGCCTCAGGTTTCATGCAAATAAATAATGCGACTCTGTATATACTAATTCATGACTCAAAATAACAACAGCTTTTACCCTTCAGAAAGAACATGTTTTACTCTTCAGAAATGTGATAAGCAACACTGATGTTAATAGTAAAAATATATCATAGAATCATAGAATGTTTTGGGTTGGAAGGGACCCCTAGAGGTCATCTAGTCCAATCCCCATATGTATTACGTGAATGTATGCAACTTATCATGGTGCTAATAAAAAGATGACTGACTTTGAAAGACTCAAAAATTAAGTATCTGAGAATGTACAGTAACTATGTCAAGTTTTGACAGCAAGCAACAATACAGGTTACACATTAAAGCAAATTCAATATATTAAAACAAATAAATACAACTAAAAGCATTGGCTTTAGCAGACATCAGAGATCAAATAAGCACAACTCATTTACCCATAAGTCAATTTTCAGAAAGCATTAGGTTTGAAGGATTTGGGAGAAAAAGAGATGTCCTATCTAAAGAAGAAGAAGAAAAAAAAAAGGACACTGATGTTTCACCCATCGCCTTCGGAAGGCAGGCAATCCACGTTAAGTGCAGATAAAACCAGCGGCAGTGCTCATAGCTGTTGTCTTACTATAATTCATTGTATCAGGTTTATGAAACCATGAAACTCTGAACATTCGGAGTGAAACTGCGCACAACCTCTACCTGACATTCACTCCCATCCTGAATTTTTGCGATAGTCCCAATTTTAGCAAAACCCCCAAAACAGCTGTTTGGGAAAATAAGATATTTAAAAGTTAAGATGTTTCCTAATCTCTTAACTTAGCACCTTTTTTGTTTTAGGATCATCTTGCATCTGTAATTACCTATTTTGACCTAGCCCAAAACTAAATCATACACAAACAAATGAAGTGAATTTTATCATTCAACTCATGTATGGGATTCTGATTGACACAGGAATACAGAGAAAGCACAGAAAAGCCATATAAGACTTGTGTTATTTGCAATACTCTTTCATGTGAGTCAAAGCACAAAGTTCCTGCTACTCTTAAAAGGTCAGTAGTATTTAAAGCTATAAATTGAGCCCTGCAAATTACATTTCCTGATGCTGAGGAATCCTACAGGACTTTGAGAAAGAATTCTTCCTGGAGCTAAGGCAAGAAGGGCTTGTGCCTGTACTACACAACAAATTCTTCCTGGAGCTAAGGCAAGAAGGGCTTGTACTACACAACGCACAGGAAATTTACCATCTGCCATTTCAAAATTTTTGCAGAAAAGAAGAAAGCATTCTATTTCTTTATATTTCTATCGTCAGGAAAACATTAGTAGGAAAAAAATTAGTCACCTTGAAAATCAGTCATAAAAGAAAGAGAACACCTCTTCACCAACTAGAAAAGCATGAATGGCTGGGCTGTTAAGCATCCATTCTGCCCATTTAAGAGTTACCTTGTCAATTTAGGTGTCACTTAACATAACCCGGGTTATTATGAAAGGGATCAGAGCTTTCTTTTTTCTTTTTAAATGTTTAAAGGAACCAGGAAAATAAACATACATCTTACTATCCAATCATTTAGAAGTGAGAAATCCGACATCCTTGATCACAGAATCATAGAATAGTTTGGGTTGGAAGGGACCTTTAGAGGGACATTTCAACTCCATCAAGGTTGCTCAGAGCCCCATCCAACCTGGCCTTGAATGCTTCCAGGGATGGAACATCTACCCTACCACCTCTCTGGGAAACCTGTTCCGGTGTTTCACTGCCCTCACTGTAAAAAATTTCTTCCTTATATGCAGCCTAAATCTACCCTCTTTTAGTTTGAAACCAATAAACCTTGTCCTATTGCAACAGGCCCTGCTAAAATTCTGTCCCCATCTTTCTTATAAGCCCCCTTTAAGTACTGAAAGACTGCAATCAGGTCTCCCCGGAGCCTTCTCTTCTCCAGGCTGAACAAGCCCAATTCTTCCACCCCTTCCTCATAGGAGAGGTGCTCCAGCCCTCAGATCATTTTTATGGCCCTCCTCTGAACCCGCTCCAACAGCTCCAGGTCTTTCCTGTGCTGAGGGCTCCAGAGCTGGACACGGTACTTCAGGTGGGGTCTCACCGGAGTAGAAGGGCAGAAACACCTCCCTTGACCTGATGGCTTGATTTAGTGATATAAGCCCGATCAGAAAAGCACACAACAGAAAAAAGCAATTCAAACAGCGCTGGGTGATTTGATAAAAGACCCTGCAACTTGGCATCTCAGTCAGCTGAGCAGAAATTAAATCACAGCGATTACTTGGAAAAGAAGATTGTATTCAATAATTATGTCATTATCCATTTTATTCTATCTACTAACGACCTGTCTTAAGAAGAAATTTCCATTGCACGCCTAATACACACCAACTCATCAAACCCCAAATGAAATGTTAACAGGTTTTCTTGATAGTCTGAGTCAAAGGTTGCAAAAATGGAAAAATCAACTTTTAACACTATGGTGATATGGCAGAACAATTTATTGATAAATCATAAGAGCGCTTAGTATTTAAATCACCAAAGAGGATGAAGGACACATCTAGAATTGTAACTCCAATGTGGAAAATCAGCATCCACATCCAAGTATGACAGAGCTGATATGGAGAGCCCAGATCTAGCAGATATATAGGCACATTGTTTATGTATCTATATACATTGTCATAATGATTTCATGCCAAATCTCAGAATATTTACATATGTAAAAAATTAGTAATTATAGGAAAAAACAACAGATTTCACATATTCTATAAAGTCAGCAGCTCATACAGCAATTTCGTCAGGAGTGGATCTGCACTTCCTCAAGAAGGGTTTCACACATCAGACATGCCTTCTCTAAACTTCTTCAATCTGTCGTTAAATGATGGTATAGCACTGAACCTTTTTCTTTCCCCCACAGCTTAAGGATCCCAAAAGCATAGGCAAAACTGTACCAGGAAAGACCAAGAAGTCTGGCATCCTGTCTCCAATGACAGTCAATGATGACTGTCTAGACCAGATCTTGAACACAGGGCAAACATGGGCTGGTATCTCTTTAGAACACTTAAACCTACAGCATTCGTATTTCAACTGCTCTGCATGCAAACACCGTGTATTAACCTATCTGATATGAACTGATACACTAAAATATACAAAAATACAAATATTCTTTAAATAATTGCTTCCTACTCCCTACCTTGATATTCTATTATCCAGATTTTGTTTCTTTAAATCTCTGAAGAAATTTTCAATAGTTTGTAGCAAAATAAGCCACCAAAACAGTATCCTTCACTGGATCCCGTGCTCACTGAGAAGGTCCAACTCTTATGGCTGCCTCTTTTAGACTCAATTTTATGAGGTTCTTTACTTTCATAATTCTCTGTTTGGAATGAGGCACACTGTAATGGACCATTTGGCTTATTTGCTCCTTCAAGGAGCTACGAAGAGCACTGAAATTAAGTACACTACAAAGTGCCTGACAGTGATATTGATATATTGGATTCCTCTCCTCTGAGGAGGAGATTTGAGATTTCCACCTTACTTTGCTTATTGGGAAGTCATTCCCAAGTTCACATTTAAGCATTGGGACCAGGAGCGCTTCACAGGCCTCTTTCTATGTCATGGCCATAACCTGGACCTCCGTTGGGGCCAGCTCCAGGTGTGGAGTGCCAGCCCCATCTCCCTCCACTGGAGTCCTGGTTGTATTCTGGCAGAAGATGTGCCAAATATTTTCCAGTGTAAGAAAGAGGGTCAATGTGAAATTTCCCATTTATATATATTATATTATTATATATATATTATATATATTTAGGAGGTCCACAGGCCTAGCAGCCAGAGGAGCAGGCTGTCAAACAGGGCAAAGGAAGAAGAGAAAAAACATTGAAGTCAGATTACTGCCCTGTTTCTTCACTGTAATAGCAGAGAAGGTGTATGCGTTGCTCTGGTTTAACAGAACAAGATCAGAAGCAGCAGGCTACAAAGCAATGGAAATGTGTCTCAGAGCCACCAGTGCTCCTTCGGAGAAGCCTAAGTACCTGCTGCAGAAATTAGGAACAATTTCTTACGTCCTTTGGGAAGAAGGCCCCCCCTGAAAGTACAGCACACTTGACCATGTCTGAGGAAGTTCTAATGCAGAAAGGAAAGAAAACCCAAACAGCTCTCGATAAAAAAGGCACCGTGTCAGCATCCGAGAAGCACTGCAAAAAACACGCTCAGACACAGCAAAAATGAAGAAATAAACTGAATTAAGAAGGAATCTGCAAACTTTAGAAGAACAAAAGAAAGCACTCGTTTGCTCATTCGTATAGAAAAAGCAAAGAAAAAAAAGCAGAAGAATTAATAAACAAACAGGATTTAAAAGATACCGTACCTTCACACACCGGGCAGCACTCTCCCTCGGGCACGTAGTACCTGTCGCAGTGCAGCTCACCACACTGGGCAGAGAAACAAATGGAGACTCCACCCTGGCATCGGCAGAAACGACAAGCATCCATTCGAAACATGTCTCCATCATAATATTCCATGCTGTTAAATATGCAAGTTGGCTTCTCTTTCCAAAGAAGGAAAAAAAAAAAAAAAAAAAAAAAAAAGTATTTTACAGATATTGATAAATAGGAAATGGTTAAACTCATGTTGCTACTGACAAAAACAGATACAAAGAGACAGCTGATTTTTCTTTCATTTTTTAAACTCAAATACATTTTTATTTTAAGAACATGGTATATTTTATTGCCTGTTTCAACAATGGAAGAAAATAGAATGCTACTCAAAATTACTTTCAGAGCAGTTATTTACAACTAAAAGTCTCCATGTTAAAAATTAAAATTCTGAAGGAAGGTTAAGGCACTGGTATTTCTTTATAGGTGTTAATTATTTCCCATTCTGGATGAGCCAGAAGCTACTTCGAATTTTAGCACATGAAGCAATAGATTTTTCTGTTTTAAGAAGAGACTTTCTGATGTTTCTTAAGTGTAATCTTCCTTTCTGTAGGACTCAGTACACAGGTGGATAAATTGCACTAAAGCTGTCCAATCCACAGGGGCAAGTTTTTTTAAAAAAAAAAAAACCAAGCCCAACAAACTTATTTCGTGACTGCATGATCTGTTATAGGGAACTGAATACTGCTCAGTTCAAGCAACCTGGAGCTGTACTGGTCAGCTCACACCTCTACTCCCCACAGAAGCTCAATGGTAATAAATATTTACATGATTGCTTCAGTGTTTCAAAAACACAAGACTATTTCTTGTATGCCTCCATCTACTACAGAGCCCTAACGTATAGTTAAATCCAAATTTCGTGGGAAGCTAAAAGACTTCGAAAATTCCTAAGTATTTTGGGAAGGACACTGCCTATTTACTTCATTAGCATGAAAAGAAAAAAAAATGATGGTAACTAAACCAACGACACAGTTTGCAGATGTAACCAGCTTTTTTCATGATTATTATCCCTTTTTAATAGTGGAGAGGTTTGGTTCCAAATTATGAAGCAGATTCACACATCATGAATACATCATACGGTCCCCTTAGGGGTTTTGACCTTGCAGTTACCCCACATACAAACTTTCTTCCACCTCCACCTCCACCACCGCCAGCAGAGCCCGTTCCCTTCGGGCAGCCTAACACGCACCACGTTGTGCAGCTCCACAGCCTAGGGCTGAACCATGGGGACTCAGGACACCCTAGAATAAATACTCCAAATTTATGCTCAGCTATAATACACCACATTAGTCATTAGGAAATTATGACTTCACACTTTCATCATTACATTACTCAATGACTTAAGCCTCCTCCCTCTTTCCCACTTCAGAATAAAACTTTTGGGCTGTCTATGACACTAGCCCAAGATACCTGAAAACAGCTACCTGAACAGTAAAACACTATCTGGTAAATAGATATATTTTTCCAGAAGCTACGAATCTAGCAGTCTCAAAAGGCAAAGGTTCGGCAATCAGGAAGCTATTTATTTCAGCAACGAAGTCAAAATTAAAAACATTACCAAACTGTAGATAAACACATCGCATTTCATTACATTTGAACTAACTTAGCAAAGGAAAGAAAGGACAATTGCCTATGTTGCTGATTTCTGTAGAATACATGGAAAAGGCTATTTATTTACTCACATCTGTAATGCCTAGTCACATCGGGCTGAAAACTGTGCTGACTTGGTGCTCAGGTGATTTTTCTTTTTTGGTTAGTGCTCAATCTCATCTCACGTGGGAGATGAAAAATACTTAAATGAAAATTCAGGATTTTGCAGATTCCTTTCCACCCATCCCAATCCTCTTACTTTTGGGAGCTAAAAACTTCTCATCTGAGTTACTCTTGACAATGACATGGGTTTTCTTTAAAACTCTAAAGCATTTCAGGGACTCTAGCATTTCTTTCTAAGTATGCTTATATTGAGCTCCAGCCTCGAGTCATTTAATATGATTGTAAAGGATTAGAGTTGAAACTTGGAAGCATCCTGAGCAATGTTTGATTTTTATATGCCTGTTCTGTCTTCAAGGCATAATGTAGAAAGCAGCATTAAAAAAAAAAAAAAAAAAAAAAAAAAAAAAAGAGGAGGAAATACCACTGTGTCCGGGAAAACAGCTATGACCTCATTAGAAAGCAATTCACATAAACAAACACTTGAGAAATATTTCAAGTTTATGTAGCTCAAGCTGTTAGTCTAAAAACCTTCTCAAAAAGGAAAAAGTGCCAACACAACTCAAAAGGCCTTTAATCCATTTGCTTCTGACTTTACTGTTTGGATTGCAGCTTTCCAGATTTTTACTGATTCCACCCCCCCACCCCCAACAGTAGATCTGAATTCCTGCCTAGTTAGAAGCAGAAACATCATCTTCCATGAATTATCACTCATTTTCAAAATGCCCACACAAGACAAAGCAAGGAACTGCGAATCCTGAAAGGAAGCAATATGTTTTATTCCTACAATGAAAACTGCCATAGAATTTCACTCTACATGTGTTTTTACCGTCCAGATTTATGGTAGCGTATACACTCATACTAAACTATTGACCTAAGCTGATACACCCAGCTATGAGAGAAGGATTACTTCTGTTAGAACCATATGTAAGACTGCAGACTTAAGACTCAGTCAAGCCAAAACAAGCATTAAACGAACAACTCTAGCTTGAGATACTCATAAAAGTGGCAGCCTAATGAAAGAGTGAGCACCACGCCGTGGAGTTGTAATGATGCATTTCTTCCACCATGATATGCTGGAAGATTCTCGCGGTTCTTTCTTTTTTTAAAAAAAAGCAGTACTAATTTTATTGCTTTACTGGTCTGTGTATGGCAGACACAAAGGATTGAAAGAAGACAAAGCTGACATTAAAGAAATGTGTCTTTTCCTCAAGGCCAGTAACCATGAATTCACTATTCTGCCAGTAAAGAGAATACTACAGGTAGAATTCTTCAAGTACCAAAGCTTCACTGCGTGACAAATTTAAATTGACTGAACTCCACAGCGCAAAGCGCTTGAATGTATCCAAACCCCCTTTTCTGATAGAGACTACCACAATGAAACAGTGGGCATGAGACAGACACCCAGGCCCTGGGTTCGTGAACACGACTTCAGTGTCTGCCAGCTACCAGATTACCCGGCAATACAAGATTGATCCAGACCAAGCACAGACGTACAACCGCCCATCTCTGAAAGGAGCCAGGACCGAGCGGACGGTACCCGGAACAATACTGAGGTTCTACTGGCTGTGGAAGGACAGATGGTATCACATCTCTGCTCCTATATAAAGTTAAGTATGACTAAGAGACTGGACACGAGTTGGCATTAAAGTTCCTGCCGCAGAGTTAAATGAGAAATAGTTCTGGCACAAATTTAGCTCTGCGGATCTCACAGCCACGGCCGTTTTGTCCTGGGAGTGAGAGCCCTAGAAACCAGTGTTGCAGTGAACCACGGAGCCTCACGCTACCCAGACACAAGCCGTGCCTATTTCTTAAGACCTTTATCTCCAATCTGAACTGCAAACAGAGACAATCTGATTTATCAAAGCAGTTTTCTAAAGTATTTTACCTTATACTTTTCAATCTAATTAAAGACAGTTCTATTGGCTGAACTAGCCCCAAATGAAAACTTCTGTTATTGAGATTCCTGTAGTTTCCCAGTACTTGTGGTTTTCTTTGATTAGAGCCATGGAACGGCTCAGAAACACACGCGAGCTTGGCAATCCACCTCCTGCGAGGCAGCAATTCTGCACATGGCTATGCCGAGCGCATGAGATGCTTCAGGCATCGCTGTCTGTAGGCAAGTTTGGGCATCTTCTTTTGTAGCATCAGAAATTCCAGCCCTCCCGAAACGGAAGCGAGAGTCAAAACAATTTTCTGTTGTTTAAAGGATTAAAAGGTTCGTGATTCCAGCACTTTGGACGTGCCTTCAGCATACAGATGGATTTGTACCAGACTCTTGGAAGGAACTGGGGCAAGTGCTGTGAACTTTCCATTAAATGAAAGGGAAGGAAACTGATAAGCTTGAATCTTGTGTCCATATAAACAAAATACAGAAAACCTTTCCGTTTTTCAAAAGCTGCGCTGATAGGGAGTTTAAAAGAAGAAAAGGGTACATTTCATTGGAGTTAGCCCATAACAATGTTAAAGGACAACACACTGTATGCTTTTGTTTCCTTGCAGATATATTAAAAACAAGCTATGTAGAAAAAAACCCCACATATCTGGGTTCTTAGTCTTCATGTTGTACTGCTTAGTGCAGTGTATTCCCTATTAAGACAACTGCAGGACCACTCTGCGAGTCCTTTGGTCCTGCATCTTCTGAAAAGGTCATCCAGAAAGAGAGATCAGAATTAAAAGAAATCTGTAACTATTATTTGGAAATCAGTGCAATTATTTATGCCTGAATTGATGCAATTACTTACACATATTTGCACAGCTTAAAGGAAAGAAACATTATTTTGTGGCACTTGTGGGCCTTAAAAGATATTAAAATATACTCGGGATGCTGAGGAAAATCAAATTCAGCATTTCCCCTTTAAAACAAAATGGAAATAACCAGATTTTTGTAATAAGGTTTCTAGCAGAGAAAGTCCGTATCATCACATTAGAAACCACTACTATATCCAGCTGCCACGATCTCTATATAGTGCCAACTTTCAACAACAGGCTTAAAATTTTCTGCCCACCTCAGCAGTGGATCCCAATCGAGAACTCTTTAGGCAGCTTCAGAAGACAGCTCTCGCGTAGGTTGATATACGTGTCTTTTTTACACACAGTAGACAAGACTGCGACGTGTTCCCCATAGAGACAGAAGACTTATTTCCAAGTCACCTTATTGGGTGGAGGTTGCATCATGGAAAAGAGCAGGGCAAGATCCCCCAACAGAACCAGCTCTACCTAATACATCCCCAGCCTAATCTTTAAAACCCACTGCAGTGTGCCTATTAAACAGTTCCACTTTTAACTACTGTAACTGAGCTCAAATCACAGCAAGGGTAACACAGGTTAGGCAGAAACAGCAAACCAAGAGGAAGGAAGTTTCCCATCTTTAAGGTGTACGTCCTACTGTTTTTTACCTTCC